AATGTTTCCCTGGTGGCTCAGACAGCAGAGAATCTACCTGCAGTGCAGGAGACCAGGGTTCAATCCCCCAGTCGGGAAGATCCCCTGGAGGAGGGCATGGCAACCCACTCCAGTATCCGTGCCTGGAGAATCCCATGGACAGAGGAGCCTGGTGGGCTGCAGTCCATGGGGTTGCAAAAAAGTGGGCCACGACTGAGTGACTAACACTTTTCACTTTTCCAACATCAATACAAGTTAGTGGATGGCATTTCAGCAGGAAAGAGAAGCAAGCTAGAAACAGAGAGTGTTCTTTGCTTGAGGGGAGGGGAGAAAGGGGAAGAAAACTGGGGTAAGAAGACCTTATCTGTCTCACAGGATGGAAGTGGAAGGTCAAAAACAGTCGTTTCAGGACGGAGTGGGGCCTGGGAGTCGGGGGTGGGGGGGCCCCCTCATCCTCCAGTGTCCCAGGCTCCCAGGCCTGAGCCTGGGTATGTCTGTACCACTTGGATGGACCAGCATCCTTACTTCTGCCACATCTGCCTCCTCCGCCCAGGACACCCAAGCCTACCCAGGACAGCTAGTGGCAGTCCCGCCATCCCCTGCCCAGCCCCCAACCCCCAGGACAGACGGGAGATGTGGGAGACTGAGAGGAAGTCAGGGAACAAGCTGGAGCTACGGGTTCTCATTCCTCTAGTTATTCACGACTGGATAAATGAATGAGTGAGCTTATGGACATGTATTCATTTATACGGTGAGTAAGCTGCCTCGGGAGAGACTAGGAAGGTCAGGCATGGTGACGGTCATGGGAACTTTTACCAACTAGCTGGCCATGGCTGCCTCGAGATGGTTGTTGTTAAAGGTGTGGGTATCCTGGGCTCAGTGAGAAAGATGCCGGGTTACTACCAGGGGCTGCCAGGGGCACAGACGGGGAGTTGCCCTCGTTTAGGAAGCAGCATTTGAGCTTCCCTGGTGACTCAGTGCTAAAGAATCCGCCTGCAATGCAGGAGGTGCAAGAGACTCGAGTTTAGTCCTTGGGTCGGGAAGACCCCCTGGAGGAGGAAATAGCAACCCAGTCCAGTCTTCTTGCCGGGAAAACCATGGACAGAGGTGCCTGGCGGGCTACAGTCCATGGGGTCACAAAGAGTCGGACACAATCTGAGCAGGGACGTGAAGGTCAGGAGGCACTGGGTGCTCTGGAAAGGGCACAGGGCAGGGAGGAGGTGGCCACAGGGAGAGAAGCGGGTGGGCATGAGCAGGAAGGGGAGAGGTCCCCGCCAAAGGGGCTGGGCGGCGTGGGCCAGGCAGAGGTGGGTGAGCTGGCTAAGGGGTCCATGCGGGGGGCCACACTTTCTCAGATTATTGATTCTTTTCATGTTGTCCACTCCCTGGTGCCCACCCCTACTACCAAGCTTTTCCAAGTTTCCACGTCTCAGTAGGACCTCAGTAAAAGACTCGATAGAGAATCGTGTAGCTGGTGCTCATGAAGAACTGTTAATTGTGCTCACGAAGAATTGTTGTGAGCCCCGTGAAGAAACACCTCCCTCCAGCAGAGAAGTGTCTGAACCAATTACATCATTTCAGGAGCCAGAATCAAGTCACTGGCCAACTGGTGACACTTGCATCACCAGAAGCTCTTCTTTCTTCCACGTGGAATGATTTTCTAGACACAGAACCCTCTAAACTCCAGGTGAAAGAGCTTGTCAGCAAGGTAACCACCATCATGTCATCAGGAGACTTTAAGACGTAAATTAGGACACGGTTACACAAAATGCGACCACAGTGTGTTTTTCCCCCCTCACTGGTTTTGGCTGATAATCCTCCCTGTTCTTTCAGAGTTGTAACACAGCTAAAATAAACTTACCATCGGGTATTGTTTTTGAAAGATATGCTTATGGAGCTGTTTGAAGAGCTATCATCATCTGCAAAAGGCAGTTGGGTGCCAAGAAGGTACTTTTCCCACTGAGGAAGTGTCCAGACCTGTCGTTTCTGCGAAAACCACTTGATTTGGTTGCAAGTTTTTTTTTTTTTTTCTTTTTAAATACTCCACAAACAAATCCAAAAGCCAATAAAAAGGTTATCTCCCTCAAGTCCTGAGAAGATGGTGCCTTTTAGGATTAAGCCCACTCATAACTTTCACCCAAGCACCATCCTCTTTCACACATTTTTATAGAACATAAATCATGACAATTTTTAAAAAGTAGTAAAGAAGCACTTCCTTGGTGGTCCAATGGCTAAGACACCTTGCTGCCAATGCGAGGGGCCCAGGTTTGATCCATGATTAGGGAGCTAGATCCCACAAGCCACAACTAAGACTTGGAACAGGCAAGTGAATTTTCTTTTTTAAAAATAATAATAGGCTTCCCTGGTGGCTCAGACAGTAAAGAACCCGCCTGCAATGTGGGAGACCTGGGTTTGATCCCTGGGTCGGGAAGATCCCTGGGAGGAAGGCATGGCAACCCACTCCAGTGTTTTTGCCTGGAGAATCCCATGGACAGAGGAGCCTGGTGAGCTACAGTCCTTGGGGCCACAAAGAGTCGGACGCGACTGACTGATGACTAAGCACAGCACAGCACTAATGAGCAACTTCCCTGGTGGTTCAGTGGCTCAGGCTCCCTGATCTCAATGCAGGGAGACCATGACAGAACTCAAGATCCTGCATTCCACAGCTAAGACCTGGCACAGCCGTGGGGGAGGAGGTGGGGGGAGCAGCACTGAGAAAGCGCTATCGGACCAGGAACCAGGAGGCCATTCCATGCAGAAGTAATTATAGAGGCAAGAGCACAGCCTCAAAACTCAGTCTGGCTGCTCCTCAGGCGAACGTGAATCTGGCCCGCCTCCTGGCAACGCTCCACGGATGTTTTATATGGCCGAGCACCAGACTGAGACAGAAAAAGCAGTGTCAACTTCTTGCAAATTAACACCACTTAGTGGATGCTACATTTTTTTTTCTTTTTCCATGCTTAGATGTTTAGTGGAGAGAAATAAAGGATAAAAACAGAGATAGCCGCTGTTTTAACTCTTTACAGGAAAGTTCAGATCTGCCATTTTGGTGTCACACTAAGGGAAAATAAATGATCCCTTTCTCTTTGGCTAACATTGTTCTTCCTAGAAACTGCGTCCGCCTTTCACACGGCAGCGACGTCACCTTCGTGACGTCACAACCGAGGAAGCGCTCTTCCGGAGCGTCAGGGACGCGGCCCCGCCCCGCGGAGGCTCCGCCCTCCCTTCCCAGCCCAAGCCCTCGGGCTTTATGTGTGTGTCCAACCAGTGGAAAGAAAAGTCACCTCCAAAAAAGAAAGAGACCCACACAAACGAACCACAGAGCCAAACTTTTAGATATGGAAATCACTTAAAATCTTTGAAAAAAGAAAAAAGCTGAGGTCTTTGGAAGGAAAAACACATCAGGGTTCTTTGAAAAATACCCCCAGCTTATCTCCCTCTTTCAGTTTGACTGAGAGCGGATCGAGCATTGACACAGCAGTGAATCTGGGTAGGTACAGCCAAACCGCAAAACAGATTCAAATTCATCCCTAACTCAATAAGCCAGGCGTCATCGCCAGCATGAGACAAAGCGGTCCCCACTCAGGGCCCGATGGGGCTGCCTCGTGGTTATAAACAATTCTGAGAGCGGCTGCTAGACCTGCTGGCGGTCTAAAAGAGGCAGGACAGCTAGAGCATCCAGGGGAAAGGTGTCCCTGACTGGGCTTTGTGGGTATGCAGAGGGGAGGAGGCTGTGAAGCCCTTTAAAGAGTACACGTGCATATGGTTCAGATGGTGAAGTCTGCCTGCGATGTTCTGGGAAGATGCCCTGGAGGAGGGCACGGCAACCCACTCCAGTATCCTTGCCTGGAGAATCCCATGGACAGAGGAGCCTGGGAGGCTACAGTCCATGGGGTTGCAGAGTTGGACACGACTGAGCAACTAACACTTTCACTTTCATATATTCGTAGGGCTTCCCCTTTGGCGCAGATGATAAAGAATCTGCCTGCAATTCAGCAGACCCGCCAGGTTTGATCCCTGGGTTGGGAAGATCCCCTGGAGAAGGAAATGGCAACCCACTCCAGTATTCTTGCCTGGAGAATTCCATGGACAGGGGAGCCTGGCGGCGTACAGTCCATGGGGTTGCAAAGAGTCAGACACGACTGAGCTACTAAGTGAAGTTTCACTTCACTTTTCATATATTTATTTTTCTGGCGAGAGTGTCTAGAGCTTTGAGAAATTTCTGGAAGAGATCTCTGACCTCCCTGCTTCCCATAACACAGCAAATAATCTCCAGAGCCAGAGGAAGTCCTCAGCATAAGTGACAAAGTTCCTTGTAACTACATAATAAAATAGAGGGTGTTTTACCTTCGCAGAAAGAAGCTATAATATTACAACTGGTGGGTCATTTGTGCTCAAGCAGTGGTGCAGCAATAAATCTCCATCATGATTTTAAATTGTAAAATCATCCTCCTGGTTCCATAAATACATCCTATGCAGTGACTATAAAAGAGGCTTCTCCTAAAAAGCATCAAAGGATAGCTACTGCCTCATTAATTTGGTCCAGAATCAACAAACTACCCTCAATAAACACTCATTACTGAAGGATTAACTAGACAATTTTTGTTTGTTGTCCTGAAATTTATGAGTTTTTTGGGGTGGGATTTGAGGCCTAGGTTGCTTTAGGAAAAAAAATCCAGAAATCTGAGGGAATGCCTTGGCTTCAGCCAGCCCCGAGGTCAATGTTGACACTGTCTTCAGGGCTCAATGCTGAGATTTGAGGTCTAACCCCATCGTGAGGAGCCCGAAGGCAAAGGGCACGAGACACGTGTAAACCGAGAGAGATAGCCCACAGGGAGAGAGAGGATACAGTCCACAAACCCGAAGTGCGGAGTGAGCGGAAACCCACCCAGCGGAGGCTTCTCAGGAGAAAGCAGGAGCGGGTGTTTCCCACTGTGCATCCCTGCTCACCGAGAGGCGGTGATGGCGCGCAGACCCTGGAAGGAGCCAGGCCTTTGCCCGGAGGGAGAGCCTGCGGTCACTTACCTGAGGCAGGCGGCTGGTCACCCGGGCCCCCCCTCGCGGGGCCGGGAAGCTCGGCGGTGGCCCCGTCTGGGGGCTGGCCCCCCGCCTCGGCCGGGTCTGTGGCGGGCGGGAGGCCCATGCCGTAGGCGCACTGGGGCAAGGGTCCACTCGGGGGGGTCCCCAGTCCGGGCGCCGGGTCCCCCCCAGCCGGGTCCCCGCAGCCTGCACAGCCGTCGGCAGAGCGGGCGCCGGCCGCCCAGTGCGGGCAGCGGCCGCCCCCCGCTTCTCCGTGCAAGGACTTCTCGGGGGACGCGGGCCTCCACGCAGTCCTGTAGGGGGGCGCGGGGAGGCGGGGGCTCTCGGAGCCCCCCAGGCTGTCCGTCCCCGTGAAGCACTGGCTGAAGCTGTCGTTCTCGCCCACCTCCAGGGGCTCGGGGAAGGGCGACCGGCCCCCAGGCGGGGTGAGGACCACCATGGAGTCTGCGGTCCGGGGGGGCCTGTCCGTGTATTCGTCCTCCGTGGGCACTGGCCTGAAGGGGTCCCCCTCGATCTCGCTGACCAAGGAGAGCATCTCGGCGTCTCCCCGGGGTGGACAGGCCGCTGCGCACGCGCCCCCCGCCTCCGGACGGCACGTGTCTTCAGGAAACACCTTCTGTTCCAGGGTCAGCAGGAAGACACCCTCACAGACTTCGCGTGCGCTGCCGGCCTCCGCGTGAGTGCAGCTGAAACTGTTGCCTGCGGACTCCTGCTGATTTCAATTCAGAAGGCAGAGCGTTAATACCAGCGTTAGAACGTGGTTCTGCTAAATGCGGCTGAAAACGGTGTTTATGGTAATCATTTTCACCATAGTAAGTACAGATGGAATGCTCACTGCTGCGCTCTATTTGGGTTATTGAAGATTAGGGGGCGGGGGAACCCTCAAATAGAGCCCAACCAGAAACAGAAGACTCGGACTGCATTTCCAAGGGGGCGGCCTGTTTACATCCACGCAAGGGAGGGAGCTGACTCAAGTGATTTCGGAGCACTGGGTCTCGCCTGTGCTCTCAATCTCCGTTTTTAAAACACCCATAAATAATGAATTCTAGTTAGCAACTTTGTTTTCTGCTATGGTATGGCTTAGTAATTCTGAAACTACTGTTTGTGTATTCTGGAATTGAGTAAATGAGTAAATATATTGAGAATAACGGGGTTTCCTGCTACGGAGAAGGGAAGATTGAAGCATAGATAAGGAAAGACTACAATGCATCCTGTAGTGCTGGGACTGGAATTAGAGCAATAGTATGAATTCAGGGTGGTGACTCAGCTGGTAAAGAATCCAGCAGCAATGCAGGAGAACCGAGTTTGGGAAGATTCCCTGGAGAAGGGAATGGCAACCCACTCCAGTACTCTTGCCTGGAGAATCCCATGGACAGAGAAACCTGGCTGGTTACAGTCCATGGCGTGGAAAAGAGTCAAACATGACTGAGCGACTAACACAACAGAATACCCAAGAAACTAGATCTAAAAAGCATATAATGGGATAATTCCTGAAATTGTTAAGATCAAATGTAAATTATATAATAGTGTTACACCACTGCTAAGTTTTCTGATTGTGATAAATGTACTATAATTACATAAGAGAATGTCCTTATGATGAAACTCACATGGGAGTATTTAAGGATGGAGGAGCATGATGTCTACCTCTCTGAAAAGATTCCAGAGAAAAAAATATACACACGCATAGACACACGCGATGCTGTGTTCAGTTGCTCAGCCGTGTCCGACTCTCTGTGACCCCATGGACTGTGGCCCGCCAGGCTCTTCTGTCCACGGGATTCTCCAGGCAAGAACACTGGAGTGGGTTGCTGTGCCCTCCTCCAGGGGATCTTCCTGACCCAGGGATTGAACCCACATCTCCTAAGCCTCCTGCACTGGCAGGCAGGGTCTTTACCATTAGCAGCACCTGGGAAGCCCAGATACACATATGGAGAGCAAATAATAAATCATTGTGAACATATAAACAGTTGCTGGCTCTGAGTAGAGGGCATGATGAAGTTTTTTATACTACTCACTGCTCTCCTACAATGTTGAAGTCATACCCAAATTAAAAGCCACCAAAATAACTACAAAGGAAAGGAATGTGACCACTCTTCTCTCCTAGGGGTCTGTCCTGGGCAGTCGAGGTTGGTACTAAAATAACAATGTAAATAATACAAGGGTACAGAGATGACCGAAACAGAATGAAATGCAAAGAAAACAGCATTTAGGATTGGGATCAGTCCTGGGATGTGAGGTCCCACCCCCTTACTCAGTCACAATTTGGCTTAATATTTGACTAATAATAGCTATAGCAACCTACACCCTCCATGGATAGGCTCTTAATTCCCCGACCAGGGATCAAACCCAAGCCTCCTGCAGTGGAAGCACAGAATCCCAACTACTGGACCACCAGGGAATTTCCCCAAATTATTAACAGTATTTAAAGGAGGCACTTTAGACTTTTAAATTTACCTTATTTCCATTTAGGCGGCCGCAAGCCTCATTGACCCAGTGCCACAAATTAGCTAGAAAAACAAAGTAAAGATAAGGGCTTCATATTATTATTTCCCAGTTCTAATCAGTATTATTGACCTTTATGTCAGTTCAATACTATCTTTAAACACACTTGTCTGCAAATTTGTGAGTAAAAGATCCTGAGAGTGAAAACATAAAGAAAATCAATCAGTTTAAAGACTATGAAGGCATGTTCCTCTTCTTTATCAAAAAATAACTTTTTGATCTATGTAAAGCTGAACATTGGGTTGGCCAAAAAGTTCGTTCAGCCTCCAGTTCTGTCGCTCAGTTGTGTCCGACTCTTTGCGATCCCATGAACTGCAGAACACCAGGCCTCCCTGTCCATCACCAACTCCCGGAGTTTACACAAACTCATGTCCATTGAGTCGTTGATGCCATCCAACCATCTCGTCCTCTGTCGTCCCCTTCTCCTGCCCTCAATCTTTCCTAGCACCAGAGTCTTTTCAAATGAGTCAGCTCTTCACATCAGGTAGCCAAAGTATTCAAGTTTCAGCTTCAGCATTAGTCCTTCCAATGAACACCCAGGACTGATTTCCTTTAGGATGGACCAGTTGGATCTCCTTGCAGTCCAAGAGACTCTCAAGAGTCTTCTCCAACACCACAGTTCAAAAGCATCAATTCTTCAGCGTTCAGCTTTCTTTGTAGTCCAACTCTCACATCCATACATGACTACTGGAAAAACCATAGCCTTGACTACATGGACCTTTGTTGACAAAGTAACATCTCTGCTTTTTACTATGCTGTCTAGGTTGGTCATAACTTTCCTTCCAAGGAGTTAAGCGTCTTTTAATTTCATGGCTGCAGTCACCATCTGCAGTGATTACTGATAACTCATGATAATCTCTCTCTTAGAGGATTGCAAAAGCCCTCCTTACTGGTGGGTCTGCATCCACTCCTACTGTAACCCTAAATTTGTTTTAATTAGTCAAATAGCCAAGTACTAACCCCACAGGACTGGTTTCCTTCCCTCTGCTCAGGATGGGAACACCCTCCTTTGCACCTGCAAGGCTGCACCACCAGGGTGTGCCGCCCTTTCCAGGTTCACTGCACCCTGGTTCTCACTCTCTGCTCCAGCTGCACCAACTTTCCAACCCCCCCCCAGCTCGCCCTGCTCCCTCCAAAGATGCAATTCTCTTGTCTTCCCTAGGGCTAGTGCAATCCAACTTGTCTTTCAGATCTTAGCTCCCCTGGGAGGTCCTGGCTGACCACAAAGCTGGACAAACAACTCTGTCACCTGAAGCTCTGTACCCCCCTTTCCACACTCAGCCTCACTCTGGGCAAAACGCCTGCCTTGCCCACTGAGAAGCCTCCTCCATGAGGACAAGTGTCTGTCCAGACACTGGTGACCAATAAACACGTGTTGAATGAAGGGATGAAGAGGAAGCAGACAGTCACACATCCCGACTCACTGATTGGCAGGCCCACTGCCCTTGGCATTCGTAAGCTATGGCCAGAAGAGATTATGACAGAGACAAAAACTAAAGAATTAAACATCAGAAGTCTGTTTATCTCATGAAAACATGACTCAATGAGCCAGCAATCTGTCAGCATCTTTGAACATGCGTTATTCAGATCTCCACGTCTGATGCTGCAGAGGTGAAGCTGCATTGAATAACAATATTCAACAGGGAAGAGACTTTTAAAAAAGGGAAGTCCAACTTCTCCCCTTCGCTCTCTGCTTAACGCTTGGCATCTTCAATCACATCTGCCCTCTTCTGTTAGTCTTTTGATTGATCAGGGTTACGTTAGGTATTGGAATGTTAATGGGAACGGTAAGATATGCAGGGTTTTGTGAAGTCCATGGATGTGACGGTGGGAGAACTGATGGAACCACAGCAAAGGCGGATGCAATAAACAAGCGAGCAGCTGAAAATGGGGAAGGACGGTGAGACCACAGGTGCTTCAAAAGTACGAGTATGGCTGAGCCCCTTTGGTACCCACCGGTAATTATCACAACACTGTCAATAAGCTGCTCTCCAGGATAAACAAAAAGTTAAACAGATCAGGGGCAGTTTAGGAAACCTAGTGATGGTTTAAGGGTTAAGAAACCTTTCTTAAAAATTATACTGTTTTAGCTTTGGAGTATAAAAGTCAAACAGGATATGATGTTAAAAGATACCATCAAACAATATTTTGGTGGAAAACCATTCCCAATAAACATGATGACACTTGATTATTCATCTAAGAATGAGCACCTGCATCTTACTGAATATAAGACAACTTGTTTTCAGAATTTTAAATTCACTTCTCAAGGTAACCACTCAGTCAAAACTTTCCATCTGCCATTTACCTGAACATATTGTTTTAATTAATTATGTAATTAAAAATGTATTCTAGGTTACATGCAACCCCTGTATATCTGATATGCATAACCTTTACAATATTTATCAGTTTCCTGCACCTAGGATAAATAAATATATTTCTTATTCATAAACAAGAACAACGGATTTTTGTTTGTTTTGCTAGAGAACAATGAATCAGGTATAAGGTGTGTTTCGCCTTAGTTTAAACAGATCGAAAGAGGCAGTCAGAGGGCAATATTCGTATCTTCAAAGCATGCACCTGGAGATGCATGTTTGCTTTAAGACTCAGGTTCAAAACCCACGGACAAATACCTGTCAGCGCTTTCCCTTGTTTCCTGTAGTAAACACCGAAGATGACGGCAGCCAGCAAAGCCACAGACATGAAGAGGAGCAGAATAATTAAACTGGGCAAGTAAATCTGCGGTTCTGTGTGGGAAGAAAACGGGGAAAACAGCACTGGCCACTGTTCATCTTTACTCCTTCTCAAAAAAAACAACAGGATTCAACTAACTCCTGGAATCAAGGATGTTGGTATGGAATAAAAGAAGCAGGAAGGGACCCAAGGCAGACTGTGGGTTTGTGGAGGGGAGCTCCCATCAGAAAGGGTGAGGTCAAAAACATAGCCCAAGCCGGCCGGACTGCCTTCGCCCTGAGGGGGGCCAGCCCAGGACCGCCTTTAGATGCTTGCACTCTAGAACAACCCTAATCGGCCTGACCGCACCATCCAGCTCCACCTTTGCTCACCTGCAGAACACATCACTCTCCAGGTGGATGGGCTCTGGAGGCAAAAGGGAGCCTCTTATCATAGCTCTTTCCAAATAACCACATGGCACCAGGGTTTTGCTGGTCATGAGAACAGAACCACAGCCATCCCGCAGAGTGTTTCAGGCACTTCATCTACAACACCGTGTGGGCTCAACCATCTTGTTCACCCCACCTGCTCACTTAAATGCTAGTACCTTTATATTATAAACTCTTGGTTTACACGACCTGGTTTCTGAGGCTCTGGCCTTTCTTTTCCTTCTGTCTTTTTTTAAGACAATTTTTAATTCCCTTGGTTATCTTTAACAGTCTCTTCAGAATGGTCTTTTTAAAATGCTGCTCTCTGTTTATAATAGCCAGGACATGGAAGCAACCTAGATGCCCATCAGCAGATGAATGGATAAGGAAGCGATGGTACATATACACCATGGAATATTATTCAGCCATTAAAAAGAATACATTTGAATCAGTTTTAATAAGATGGATGAAACTGGAGCCCATTATACAGAGTGAAGTAAGCCAGAAAGATAAACACCAATACAGTATACTAACAAATATATATGGAATTTAGAAAGATGGTAACAATAACCCTATATGCAAGACAGAAAAAGAGACACAGATGCATAGAACAGGCTTTTGCACTCTATAGGAGAAGGCGAGGGTGGGATGATCTGAGAGAATAGCATTGAGACATGTATATTATCAAGTGTGAAACAGATCACCAGTCCAGGTTGGATGCATGAGACAAGTGCTTGGGGCTGGTGCACTGGGAAGACCCAGAGGGATGGGATGGGGAGGGACGTGGGAGGGGGGGTTCAGGATGGAGGACACATGGACACCCATGGCTGATTCATGTTAATGTATGGCAAAAACCACTACAATATTGTAAAGTAATTAGCCTCCAAATAACAAAAATAAATGGGAAAAACTGTTGCTCTCCGTAATGTCTTGTCCGGAACCTCTGACGCCCTCCTGTTTGCTGACGTGTCTGAGCCGCAGCCGTGCTTCTCTTAGTCCGCGTTTGCCAACATGCCTCTGCACCCAGGGCGCTCCTGCCTCGTTGGGAAGCTCCTCCTGGCTGAGATGCCTGGACCCACCTCCACAGCATCTCACTCCCCTGGGCAAGCAGCTTCCACACTAACCGCCCGCTTTCTGTTGGTCACTGAAACTGTACTTGAGGTTGACTGGATCCTCCAAATGTTCCATAAATAATGGTAATTGTATTCTACCAAGTTGCTGACTCTGGTTGGTGATCAAAATCTCCCATAGTTATCCTGCTGTGATAACCACTACCGTACCATATTTGGGCATTTTAATTTATATTTGCACCTCAATTTTCTTTCTTTTTTGGGGGGTATATATGAATAAAGTATTGGTTATCCATTCCACAGTAGAAAATCATCAACTAAAAAACACTGATAAAATGAAATACTGAGCTGAGCTTGGATAGAGAAGTTGCTCAGTCATCTCCAACTCTTTGCAACCCCATGAACTGTAGCCCGCCAGGCTCCTGTCCATGGGAATTTCCAGGCAAGGATACTGGAATGGGTAGCCATTCCCTTCTCCAGGGACCACGATAGGATGAGATGAAAAGGGAGAGACGGCTGCCTCTGGATATAGCATGTAATTCGAGAGAAATCTAGAACTGACTAGACTGGGGCACACCTACCCAACCAACCTTTTCTATTAAACATACCACTTGGTGGATCTGCAGGTGGGAGAGGACTACAAACCACATCTGATTCATCGGTTCCGCGACGCACTTCTCTCTCTCCGAGAATGGTGCAGCTGTGAAGAGAAAGGTACGTAAGTCCTTTGGTTTCATATCCTTATTTAAAAAAAAAAAAAGCTATAAAAGATTCTACCCCATTAGACTGCAAGCTCATTCAGGAGAGGAACCAAGGTCTTCCTGCACGTTTGAATCCCTGGTGCCTGTCCACACACACTAAGGTGGGCAGAGAGATGAGCGAAAGTGACTACTGCCGTTGCTGACATCTGCTCTTGGAGCGTGGTCCGTGACGGCAGACCGGTGTGTTTAGTAAAGAAGATTCCAAATCCAATTACCATGGCTAAGTGATAAACTTTTGAAGTTGAAATGAATACCCTTTTGAAGTTGAAAACACAGAAAATCTTTTTCAAAATAAAACCTGGATGGGTGGATCCGACAATAAATATTTAACGAGAATTAATTTATTGGGAACTGAAAGAATCATGATATTGATTATGAGTATTCAACAATAGGCAAGCAGTGAAAGGATCCAGGAATTTCACTACAACTTTGCTCACATAAGTGTGAGATAGTATACAGGTGAGATGATACATTACAGATTTATTTATCACTGGAAAAAACTGGAAATCACTTAAACGACTAGAATAGGGAGCTTGTGAGAGTTGGACCATAAATAAGGCTGAGGGCTGAAGAATTGATGCTTTCAAACTGTGGTGCTAGAAAAGACTCCAGAGTCCCTTGAACTGCAAGGAAATCAAACCAGTCCATCCTAAAGGAGATCAACCCTGAATATTCATTGGAAGGAGTGATGCTGAAGCTGAAGCTCCAATACTTTGGCCTCCTGATGAGAAGAACTGACTGACTGGAAAAGACCCTGATGCTGGGAAAGATTGAAGGCAGGAGGAGAAGGAGACAACAGAAGATGAGATGGTTGGATGGCATCGCCGACTCAACGGACATGAGTTTGAGCAAGCTCCAGGAGATAGTGAAGCCTGATGTGCTGCAGTCCATGGGGTCGCAAAGTCTGACATGAAGGAGCAACTGAACAACAAGGGAACTTGTTAAATAAATTATGGTACATCTCTGTGACAACACACTATGTAGTTAGAAAAGCCACAAAGACGTAAGTAAGTTAATGTGGAGTGCGTTTTCTTCAGGATACATTATGTGGGAAAAAAAACCCAAGTGTGTAAACATTTATTTAAGCAGGAGGCTTCTATATGCACATATACAATGCACACATACACACACACATAAATAAATAAACCAGTGATAAATAATAAAAACAATAATAGTAAATATAAATAAATAATAAATAAATAAACAAATAAACCAGCGATGCTGGGAAGCTGGGCAAACAGAGACTGGTGAGTCTCTTGTGATAAGCATCATAAGCAACTAAGTAAAGTTGGAGAAGGGGAAAGCAGCTGCAGCTGTAATCAGAGCTCCGCAGCGGCGCACGGCTCCTGCCACCCATCCGAGGACAGGCTGCTGGGGCTTCTCTCCCTCACACCCAGCTGACAGACTGTGTCTGCTGTGAAACTCGCTTCCCGAGGAAGCCTCCCCAGACTGCATCACTCTGTTTTCACAACAGACGAGACAGCGGAGGTGGAGTTCTTCCGAATCCAGACGCCCTTGATCCCCTCGCCATCACTCACTTGGTCCAGGGCCTGCACGAGTCCGTGGCGGAAGTGGTGTTGGAGAAGAAGCCTGCGGGGCAGGGCTCACACACCGTGTCCTTGTTGAGCTGCACTGTCAGAAAGACCGGCGGACAAGAGAACACAGGGCAGACGGGGACACTTAGAGATCGGCCAGGAGGGGCCCCCCGGCGTCCCCCCGCCGCCCTGGCCCCCTGCGGCGGCTGGCGGAAGCCCCCCAGGCTTCAGGGGGCCCGAGACAGCAGCACGTCCAGGGGCCCAGGCGCAGAGTCGGGACGCGAAGGCTGGACCTGGATCCGGTCCGGCTCTCCAGTCCACGGCCTCTGCCATCAGAGCTGCTGTCCTAGGCACCCATCCTTCGTCTCCCCGCCAGGAAGCTGCTGTTTGTTTCCTTTCAGCCAAGTCTGTTCTCTCCTGTCTCCTTCACCGGCTTCGGTACAGAGAGTGGTAGCCCATTAACTACTTTGAAAGGAAACTTCTTGCCCTGACCCCTTCTGATCAATAATCTTACCAGTCTAAGTATCAGAGTATTGACTAACTTCAAAAACAAAACCCACGCTACACTATGGGTCTCCTCTTAAACCAAGGGTTGGCAATAACAGTTGTTTTCTGTTAAGGGCCATATGATAAATATCTTAGGCTTATGAGGCCCTCTGCTCTCTGCGAATTACTTGCAGCGTGAAAGCTGTCACAGACAATGTATAAAAACACATTGGCTCTGTTCCAATAAAACCTACTTACAAAAACACAAGTGATGGGATGGATTTTGGACCCAGAGCACTCAAAGCAGGAATTAATCCTGGTTAGTAAGCTATCTTTGCCTCTCTCATATTCCTCATAAACTATATTATCAAACTAGGAAATGTCTCAGATTTCCTCTGTCTGTTCCTTTTACTGCAACTGACACACGGTGAGCCTTTGGTAGTTCCGATAAAGAAGGACACTGGCTACCATGTGCTATCATAATAAGCAATTGTCTTGTGCCAAAACCACAAATTACTCTTGAAATTAGTAGCACTTCTGTGGTTTATCTTCATGAATAAAATGCAAAAATAAGGAATTACATTTTCTCTGTCCAAAGTCAAGTGGGAAGTACACTCTTGGTTTTTGCAATTGCTCAATACATAGCAGGTGTGCGTGTGTGCCAAGTCATTTCAGTCGTGTCCAACTCTCTGAGACCCCATGGACTGTAGCCCGCCAGGCTCCTGTCTGTGGGATTCTCTAGGCGAGAGTAGTGGAGTGGGTTGCCAAGCCCTCCTCCAGGGGATCGTCTTGACCCAGAGATCAAACTTGGATCTCCTGCACTGCAGGCGATTCTTCGCCGTGTGAGCCCCGGGGAAGCCCCAGTAAGTAGCGTCCTCATTCCTCACTCTAGCAATTAGATTTGCCTTGAAACGGTATCAGCAAAGGTACAGTTAACATCTAGTCACTCGGATGAATTCAAACAGCTTTTAAAATGATAATCGCACTCTAGAAGAGTAACCCTTAAAAACAAAATGATTCCTAAGGGGCTGCAAGGCACAAAGAGCTTGACAGGTGCTGACTTCTGTACACTTGACTCACGTCTGCCCTGAACTGCTGGGGCATCTGCAGTTTCTCCCTTTTTTTCTCTTTCACAATCACACTACTCCCACTTACAAAAGAAGGCACACTTCATACCTACTCCAAATCCTACCGTGGAGCCAAACTTCTGAGGTGCCAAACAAAGCAACAAGTCAAAAGATCGGTGACAGAAAGCTGCTTCGTTTTGTCTCTCCTGTCCATCTATCAGGGCTTCCCCCACAGCTCAAACATAAAGAAACCACGGGCAATGCAGGAGATCCCAGTTCGATCCCTGGGTCAGGAAGACTCCCTGGAAAAGGGAATGGCTACTCACTCCAGTGTTCTTGCCTGGAGAACTGCATGGACAGAGGAGCCTGGCGGGCTACAGTCCACGGGGTCACAAACAGTCAGACACAACTGAGTGACTGACATCCATTAAGGGCAAGGGTGTGACAACACAAAAGTGGTAACTGGAATCAGGTTGACTTGTTCTGAGTTCAAATATATTGTGATGCAGGGGTGAGATTTTCATGCATCCATGTCACCCTCTCTACCCTTCACCTATTGCATTCCAAAGGGGCAAAGCAGAGAAGACAAGAACCAGAAAAGAAAAGAAAAAAGCAGAAAGGGCCAGCACCTTCTTCCATGCAGTTTAACAAGTTGCATGAACGGCCCTGAGTCTTACCTACAGCTTAGAACCAGAATTCAGAAGGGAGTAGGTTGTCATGAGATTTGTTTTAGTAAACAAAAAGTCAAGTCCGACTTTTCCCAAGAGAAAGCCTCTCTGGTTTAAATGATAATCAGGGCTGACTTATTCAGACTCTGTGATGAAGATTTTCCTCAATATGAAATGAAACGAATAATATTTTAATTCTTCCAACTCAGACTTTACTTTTATAACTATTAGTATAGCAAAATTATATAATATAGTCATTCATCTTTTGGACCAACTGTGTAATAACCACTATAGAACAAGTCAGTCCAGAAGAAATGTTTTTAACCTTAAAAGCTTGAGTCACAAGAAATTTTTAAAAATTAAAATTTCATGGTATTCCCTGGTGGTCTAGTGATTGGTTAGAACTCAGAGCTTTCACTGCAGGGGGAGGGGATAGAGGGGGTGAAGTGGAGGGTGGTTCGTTCCTGGCAGGGGGAATCAAGGCCCTGCAAGGAGCCTGGTGCAACCAAAAAGAAAAGAAAAGTAAAATTTCAAATAGGTGCATTTTTAAAATGTGAAGAGAGTATGAAAAGGTAATTAGTAAAAACCTTCTGAGCCTAAAAATATATTACGATGAAACTCTGTGAGGAAAGTGAAATGGATACAAATCAAACGAGAGAAAAAGAGCCACATAGAGTTTCCAACAGTTAGAGACGACCATTGCAATTTTATTTTTTCATTTTAAAAAAATTTGGCCACACCCTGGGACATGTAGGACCTTAGTTCCCCGAGCAGGGGTCAAACCCACGTCCCCTGAGCTGGACGCGGAGTCTTAACCACTGCACCTCCAGGTAAGGCCTCTGATAGCCACCTTTTTACACGGATGATGATGGGTATCCAACTGCTAGGAGTTCAGAACCCACTGAAAATGTTATAAAGTGTTACGGACTAATTCCCTGGAAACTAAGTCCTTAGCAACTCTTGAAATTTGTAATAAAAATGCTTAGATGTCGATTAAAAATTTTGACTGGACGCACACGGCTTTGCAAAATTCTTCTAAGAGGGTGCACAAGTTCTAAAAAAAAATTGGGGGGACCCCTGCCTGATCCTGTTTCCCCCTAAATGGGGANCACATTAAGTAGATAATTTTGTTATGGAACACAGATATGGGAAAAGTCAGAAAGGTGGTTCATTAATTGAGTGATTCATGTTTGGCAAATACTGCCCAGGAAGGTGCTACCTGGCCAAATTCACATGGGTTTTGGGTTTTTTTTTTTTTTTTCTCCTCTCTCTCTCAATAATTAGGAGACCTGTACGTTTTGAGAAGTCAATTTTCAAGTTAGTAGGAAGATTAAGGCCCAGGGAGTTGCTAAGTACTGACGATTTTGATTAATGCAAAACTGGACTTAACAGCTCCTTGATTTTTAGTAAATTCAGATGTGACATGCATTCTTAACACCAGGGCTAACGGGATCTAAACCCATAGGTTTTCTGGAGACGGGGGTTCATCTGGGGTCCTGTAGGGCCTCCTTGAAAACAGACCTCCCTGTGTGAGCAGATAAGTGGGAGAAGCACAGAGGCTGGGCCTGGCGGCATACTTGGAAATTAATCTCTCCCCCAAATTCAGGATAAGGCATTTGTCCTGTCTTTTCTTACAACACGGAGCACAGTGCATCCCCAGCTGAGGGCAGAGGAGGTCATCCTGCCTTCGTTTCAGCTCTCACACTGGAAACCAGACTCCGTGTGTTCTGTTTAGTGTCTTTATTTCTGTGTTTTGTTGATGAGCTTCTTCTGTAAAGCGGCCCCCCCAGCCTAAGGCTGAACTGTTGCTGAGTGTTTAGAGGAAGGCAATGATGTGTCTTCCAGAGAAAATCCATACGTTAGATAAACTGTGTTAAGTGTTGTTTATTGTGACACTGTTAATGCAACAAAATATTTCTTAAATAAGGTGTCTTTACACAAGAAACAGGCACAAATGTAGGTCATGTTTACCCACCCAGGGGAAGTATTTGCTAACTCAGTGTTTGTGATGACTTTATAGAACTTAAGTGTCCTGAATAACAGACTTCCCCAGTGGCTCAGGTGATAAAAGAATCTGCCTTCAATAGGGGAGACCTGGGTTCAATCCCTGGGTTGGAAGATCCCTTAGAAAAGGGAATAGCAACCCACGCTAGTATTCTTGCCTGGAGAATTCCATGGAGAGAGTGGGCTACAGTCCATGGGGTCACCGAGAGCTGGAACCAGATGAGCAACTTAGCACGCATGCATGCATGCACGCACAGTGAATAACAGGAACCAACTGCACACACATACACTCAAAACAGCACAATAATATTATTTAAAACAGACCTCCTATCACTATACAACCTCATCTATCCTGGATTGTCCAAACAGCCCTTGTACTGTATATCCCTTAATACTTACCAGTGTTAGTTATGGATTGATGTTTGTGTCCCCTGAAAATTCTTATGTTGAAGTCCTCATCCCCTTCAGTGTGATGGCATTAGGAGGTGGGGGCTTTGGGAGGTGATTAGGTCATGAGGGTGGAGCCACCCTGAATGGGATTAGTGCCTTTATAATAAGAGACAGCAGAAAACGTGCTTTCATTCTCTGCTCTCTACCACATGAGGACACAAGAAAGTGGCTGTCCTGGAGCCAACAATAGGGCCCTCATGAAGGACCGGGCCGTGCCGGCACCCTGCTCTCGGACTTCCCGCCTTCGGAGCTGTGAGGGGTACGTGTCTGCTGCTACAGCAGCCTGGACTGCCGAGGACAGAGCGCCAGAGGAAACCAGCCAACCAGAAGCACGTCCCAGGTCGCTGTCTGGAGCTGTAACTGCAGGGAAGCAATGTCTCCCGTGCCCCTTCTTTCCAGAACAGAGCCTGGGGGACCAGAGGGCCCTCTGCCTTCAGGGCCCACTCTCCAAAGCCCAGGTCAGCTGTGACACACCACGACCAACTTGCATAAACGTGGACCTAATGTCCGCAACACACATGGACAAGAGTCATTCTCCTTGGAAAACTTGAATTCTGGTCTCCCACTCAAACTCTGGTGGTTGTTCGTTGTTGAGGAGTGTCCGACTCTGTGACCCCACGGACTGCAGCCCACCAGGCTCCCCCGTTCATGGGATTTCCCAGGCAAGAATACTGGCGTGGGTTGCCACTTCCTTCTCAGGGGTCTTTCTGACTCAGGGATGGGACCCCCGTCTCCTGCTTCGAAGGCAGATTCTTTACTGCTGAGCCACCAGGGAAGCCCCCCACCCCCACTCAAAAGTAAGTGCATATAACCCTGTGTGGTGATGGATGATTTTGACATATTTTTTAATATCTTAATGCACCAGGTTTGGGGCTTTAATCAATTTTGGCAGTAGACAGAGTGAATCTTTCTTTCCAAGAGACAGTGATGAGTCAAACTCACCACTAAGCAATGGGAAAGAAAAAGGACTTGATCAGATGCTTTGCTCAGTGGACTTTCCATGTTACCTTCTCCAAAGTCTGCCAGCTGTCTCTAATTTTAGAAATATTACAGTGCTTTAAAAAATACTTATTTCCTAGCATTTTTGTTCTATTTGAAAAAAAAAAAACATATATATCAATACAAGGATCAATCCTTGTAGCAATGAGCCTTCTGAGCACCCAGACTGAAGTCACTAAATAAGATGTTCTAAGGAAGCGATGAGAAATCCTTGGCTCATTCCAGCTTCAGGGAAGGAAGTGTCCAAGATGAGCCTGGGAGAAAGAGAGCTCTTAGAGATACCCGAGGGAGAGGAGCGACCATCTAAGCCCCAGTAAGACTGTGACTGCAGTAGATTAAAACACCTCCACTGTGTAAATGCGTGAGTTCATAATACTCCTTTTTCTAAAAAATAAGCTCTGGCTAGTTTTATTAAAGAAAAGTTGTGCATGATCTACTTTTCATGGGTCTGTCCCGGCATGCCCCTAATGATGTCAGAGTCACCTGGCTCACTGAGAGCTGGTGTGTCTGGCTCTGTAGCATTTTCCACGCACGGTGCCCGATTCAATGTTACTGCCACCGTAGTGATAGACACTAGTGGTAAAGAATCTGTCTGCCAATGCAGGGGACACAAGAGATGCAGGTTCGATCCCTGGGTCAGGAAGATCCCCTGGAGTAAGAAATGGCAACCTGCTCCTGAATATTGCCTGGAAAATTTCAAGGACAGAGGAGCCTGGTGGGCCACAGTCCATGGGGTCGCAAAGAGCTGGATACAACTGAGCGACTGAGCGCCATGGTGACAGACACTTGCTCTAGCCGTTGTCACACGATACTCGATTTCAGGCTCCCTCAGGGCTGGGCAGTGGTCAGCGAGGACGACCAGTTTCACTTTGCCTGTCTGGGGTGCCTGTATGCACCCCAGAATACACTTTTCACTTTTCATAACGAACTGGAACCTAGAGTCAATCAACTCCAGCAACTTTTTCGTCATCTTTGCAGTCTTAGGTGCGGGATGCCTCCAAACAAGTGCAGCTACCAAGATGGCAGGGAGTGAGAAAGGAAGCTAGCTCGTGATGTTCATATAGATCCTCTGGAGACAACTTGGTGATGGGGGTCATTATATTGAAAAGTAGAAAAATAAAGTTATAAGCATTCATTCTGCCTTTCCTGTATAGACTGCTCTTCAGGGTAATGACCAGTTGATGAGAGAAGTTTCTCTTTAGAAAGCATTTCAGCCAATAAATGATGAAAGGATGATGGAGTTAGAACATCACCTTTCTGCCGCCCCTAAATGAAAATGGATCTAGGTCATGATCATCAACAGCTGCTCATATCACCCAGAAAAGAGAGAAGCAGCTACACTGTGACCCCTGGCATCACTTTTTGAAGGAGTTTTGCCAAAAACAAAGCAGAAAAACCCAAACCAGATTCTGATCAGCCTTCTAGATCTAATAACCCCTTTACAGGAAATACAGGGGACAGAAGCCGTATGTTTAATGAGACCGAGATGATGCAGCCAGCAAAGCTCCGCCAGTGGAACCCCTACAGGACTGATGGCGTGGCTCCCTTAACAGACAGACTGAGTGAAAAATGGAGAAAAGGGGACGAGAGGAGCTTCTGGGTTTGGACTTAGGAGACATATTTTGATTCTATTCTTATGAATAAACTTTAATTTTTAAAAGATCTGAGTCAAAAGCCCTATAGCAATAGGATAAAGAGATCAGACTATGGAGGTAGGAAGACGTGGATAGTTTAGGAAGAAGACCTGGGAGTTAGAAGGCCTGGTTTTGAGTCCTGCTTCTCATTTGTAACCCTGGAGAAATCACTCACTCCCTCTTAGTTTCTTCATTTCTACAACGGGATAATCATAGCTTTCTCACAGGGTTTTTTTGTGAGAAGTAACACAACATATGTGGAAATGCCATGGAAACCTTCTGTCAAGTGTAAGATACCCTCCAGGACTGAACACACAAATATCACATATTATCACTTATATGTGGCATCTAAAAAAATGATACAAATGAACTTATTTACAAAACAGAAATAGACCCACAGACATAGGAAACAAACATGGTTAGCAAAGGGGAAAGGTAGGAGAGGAGATAAATCAGGAGTCTGGGATTAACACATACACACTACTGTATATAAAACAGATAGCCACCAGGGATCAACCGCATAGCACAGGAAACTGCACTCAGTGCTTTGAATAACCTATCAGGGAAAAGGATCTGGAAAAGTAAGACGCACACACCCCGAAGCACTTTGCCGTGCACCGCAAACAGGACCCTGTGCATCGACTGTACTTCAGTAAAAGCAAAACAGACACATTCCAGAAGTTCCGTGCGGAAACCTGTAACACAGTGCTCCTGGGATCTAAAGCTCACCCTCTGGGGGTCTGTGGGCAGACGTCTTCCCTTGCCCCCAAAGGCACAGCATCGCTGTATCCAACAATGTCGTTTACCCACACTGCCCCTGACTCACCTGGATCGCAGACTTTGTGCAGCAGGCATTTATCTTCTTCATTCCAGGTGTCCAGGTATTCGTCCGAGCCACAGGGCAGACAGACACTTTCAGAGGTAGTGGTGCATTTGGAAGACATGTACGTTCCTTAAATTAGAAGGGAGAACATGCACCAATCAAAAATCATCCATGTATTATACTCTTTGTGACCCTATGGATTGTATCCCACCACGCTTCCCTGTCCATGGGATTCTCCAGGCAAGAACTCTAGAGTGGGTTACCATGCCCTCCTCCAGGGGACCTTCCTAACCCAGGGATCAAACTTGCATCTCTTTGTCTGCTGACTTTTACATGCAGATTCTTTACCACTGAGCCACCTGGGAAGCCTGTGTGTTATATCAGGGGAAGTGTGATCTGACAATCTCTATTTGCCTAGAGATTAGGCACAACTTCTTCTCAGAGGAAGCCTCCCAATAAATCAACAAAAATGAGCCAGTCTGGGAATTCCCTGGCAGTCAAGTGGTTAGGACTCTGCATTTTCATTGCTGAGCACCCAGGTTCGATACTTGGTCGGGGAACTGAGATCCTGCAAGTCTTACAGTGTAGCCAAGGAAAAAAAAAACAAAAAGCACCAGTCTACCAAAGCCTTTACATGATGTGGTCCCAGGATGCCCCCAGAGACAGAGGTCATGTCTCACAGCAGGGGCTCCTCAGGGCTCCTGGCTGGCCCAGATAACCTCCCTGGGTTTGCTGTGCCTGTGGTCACCGTGGTCTTTCAGACCTTCTAAGTAAAACCCTAGGCCTTTCCACTCCCAACCCCTGCTGACTCAGGAAAAGAACTGCGGTTTTCAAACTGGCGCCTGCAGAACTCGAGGGGTTCCCTGGGGCTAAGCAAGAGAAGCTGCGTCTCCTGCCTCATGTCTCCGTCTTCAAAGCCCCTTTACGGTGGACCCGCAGAGTTTGTTTCTTTTGTCCCGTGCACACTGTAGGCTCACGGTTAACTTCGTTTGGTCAGAGAGTAATACACACGCTCAGAAACACACACATATGCATGAGAATCAATGGGTATTCACTCTGTGCACCCCAAAAATATTTGTAGCTGAAATAGCTAAAGGATTTGTAGTAAGATAAGCTCCTTTGCCTTAAAGCTCCTCTCCCGTCCCCAGAACAGGGAGTGAGTAAGGACCCTCTGGACTTGGGGCCTCGCCCAGGCCACAGAAATAGCTGGCCACCCCCTTGTCAGAGCAGCTTGGGGGAAATCTTGGCCAGTCTGCCTCCTACTCCTCAGTAGATGTTGTGGGAGAAGTTATAACAGGATTTAGGCAATTTTTGGCAGTGATTCAAAGACAGTCATCCCCATCCTCATCACCACCCCCACCCCTGGTGAATTTCTATGAAATTAATCCCTTTTTTTTTTTTGCCTTACCTCGCGGTTTGTGGGATCTTAATTCCCCATCAGGGGTTGAACTTGGGCTATGGCAGTGAAAGAGCTGAGCCCAGACCACAGAACAACCAGGGAACTACCCCTAAATGATACTTTTAAATAAGAGTTCTATTGAATATTTTAAGAGTTTGAATCACAAACTTCTAAAACAGCATTTTAAAAAAAACCTCTTGCCTTCTCAAGAAATAGTGTTTGAGGAAACGGGTACTTAACTCACACTCCAGCATGCACTTAATTCCAGTTTCTGAAATTGCTCTTGGTTTTTAAGTTACTTCACCTATTGAGAGTAAGATTTTTCTCTTCAGAATGACAGACATCACTACCTGCCACTGCCGTAAGAAGCCTACCCGATTTCTTTTCTCATCTGGCAGGACAGAATCAGTTACTTACTAACATTAAAACAAAAGGGCCCCCCTCCTTGGGAGGACAGGAAAAGGAGGTTTAGCTTCTGAAGAAGCACGAACCTGGTTCACACTTCTTACAGCACTGTCCAAGATGCTCGTAGTACCGCTCGCTGGTACACGGAGGGGCGATCTGAAAAGTCACCTGAAAAGAAAATGTGCATCAGGTAGAGATTAGGCACAAGTTCCTCCCAGAGGAAGCCACCAGAAACTGTCCGGCCACCGCTCTGCATGATACCGCCCACCCCCCCCAAAGGTATCACTATCCTACGCTAGCCTATTCCTCCCCCCCAAGAATGTACAAACCAATGATCCTGGCATCAAGATCCATTTAAGTATTTAAAAATATTTCAGTTATGCTCATGCGAACAGGCTGAATTGAAGGGAAATTTATAAATGGTACCCAGCAGTTTGAAAACTGCTTTCTACCAACCACGTACAAAGTGGCCCCACGCCTGTGTCATCCTGTGGAGGACAGTGTGGTCAGTCCACTTTGGTCATAAAAACTGGAGAAGCACAGAGTGGGGTCCCTTCATCCGTGTATCACACTCTTTGTGACCCTGTGGACTGTATCCCGCCACGCCTTCCTGTCCATGGGATTCTCCAGGCAAGAACAGTAGAGGGCGTTACCATGCCCTCCTCCAGGGGACCTTCCTGACCCAGGGATCAAACCTGCATCTGTCTGCTGACTTTTACAGGCAGATTCTTCACCACTGAGCCACCTGGGAAGCCCGTGTGTTACATCAGGGGAAATGTGATCTGACAAGCTATTTCTGATTTTAGAAAGATGCTTAGTACTGCTTTCCTTTAAAAAGTTTTAAACATGCAGAGAAATTTTAAAAGTGGGACAGCAAGGGGTTATAGGGAGCCTGTGACCTGGAGCCTGGACTCCCGCCAGCCCGCCGGCAGGGGGAATGTCCATGTGCCGCTTCAGCTTTTTGAACTTTGGTCCCCTTTCTGCATGATTCTAACACAAGATTAATTTCCACATTTGCTCATCTAAGCAGAGCAAAACCAAAGCCAAGTACCCTGCATTCATCAGACTCTCATCAGTTTGCCGCAGGAAAGCCTTCCCTTATCAGCCATCTCCGTTAGAGAAAAACACAAGCCCCCGTGGACTACAGGCCCGGGGGAGACGGAAGCCCGGGGCAGCGGCACAGAAGCGCCGGCCGCGCTCACCGAGGGCTTTGCTGGGCTGGGGGTCCGCAGTCACCATCTTGCCCCGAAGGGCTTCGGCACTCCAGGGTGGGCTGCAACGGGGGCAGCGGGCCCTCCCTGCGCGCACGGGGACCTGGGGCTGTCCTCAGGGCTCACAGGGCAGAGATCAGCCAGGGCTCCCGGGCGGCTCAGCGGTGAAGAACCCCCTCCCAACGCCGGGGACACAGGTGCGATCCCCGGTCTGGGAAGATCCACATGCCGCGGAGCAGCTGAGCCCGTGAACCAGAGAGACTGAGCCTGCGCTTTAGAGCCGGGAACCGCGACTCCCGAAGCCGCACGCCGAGCCTGCGCTCCGCAAGAGAAGCCGCGAGCCGCAATTGGGGCAGCCTCCGCGGGCCGCGAGTGGAGAAAACCCAGGCCGCAACGAAGACCCAGCACAGTCAAAAATAAATTTTAAACTGGAAAAGAGAGACTTCCCTGGTGGTCCGGTGGTGAAAACTGTGCGTCCAAAGCAGGGGGCCTGAGTTCGATCCCCGGTCAGGAAACAAAGATCCCACACGCCATGAGGCATGGCCAAAAAGTAAAAATTAAGTCGGGCGTGCAGGACGCAGCCAGTAAGGGCCTCCCCGACCTCCCCTGGGTCAGGCAAAGAGCTTCTGGGGGGCTGCGGTCGGGGACAGTCCCTCTGAGGTCAACGAGAGCGTCGAACGTGTTTCTGGAGCCAGTGTGCCGGGAAGGCGGTATCTGGGCTTGGTTCCTAGGCCGTCTGACCCTCTCCGTGGACCCGGGTATCGGGACCGAAGTTCCCCAAGCATCCACCGCCCGACAGGCTCACAGGGCCAGGGCAGTGAGCCCGTGGACACTGGGAAAGATGACGCAACAGAAGCCGTCCCGCCTCTGCTCCCTGGGGGCTTTCCCTGTTTCCATGGGAACCCGTGTCTCTGCCTCGGCACAGCAACGTGTGCAGAGAGGAGAGATGCGCAGAGTCAGACGGTGAGGCCGGACGCGGCAATGCAGATGCTGTTTCACAGAAAGGGTCTGTGAAAGCCTGATGGTATGTGAGCGCCCCTGCCATGCTGATGACAAAGCAGACCAGGGAAATGCGCGGTTGGAGCGTATTTCAGATGATCAAGGCCGATTGCGTCTGACCCGTAAGAAAACTGCAAGTCTCTATAAGACAGGGGCAGGCTTTGTCTGGGTCACGTACACAGGTTCTTTTTAGGGGAATTTGCTGAAAGGGCGCCTCCTGAAGCAGCAGCCAGAAGTGGTCAGGTGCCACTGTGGGCTGGGCGCTGGGCTGCAAACCCCCGTACCTGGTGAGTGTCAGCCACCCAAAAGTGTGGACAGTTTGTTTACATGTCTAGGCGCATGGCTGTGATTCATTCCGCCCATCCGCCCTCTGGCCCAGGAGTGTAACCCTGGCAAAAACAGGGAAGCTGCGATTCCAGAGGTGACCAGATGTCGTCTTAAACAGATTTTTCAGATTGTTCCTTAATATCCATCTCTGTCTCCTAAGTGAATTGTGACTTTACACCTGGACATGCCTTCTTTTTAAAATATTGAGAGATAATTCACATACTATGAAATTTCCCCTTTCAAAGGTTATGATTCACTGGGCTTTTTTTTTTTTGTATATTCAAAAAGTTATGCAACCAGCACTGCTGTCTAATTCCAGAACATCTTCATCACTGCAGAACTGACATGTTTGTTTCACACCGCTATAGGGTTACTGATCTTTCAAGTTACATCAGTAATTCTGCTACTGGGAAATTTGACTGTGGTGAGGCAGACAATTTTGGTATTAATTTAATTTAAGGTAGAACTTAAACTGATCCCTACTTTGTTCCTGAGTTACACTAGATACTTTGCAGTACACCTTGAGACTTTCAAAATGACAATCAACATACAACTTACAAGGCAGCATACGTACATAGATATGGTTAATGAAGTGCGCGTGTGAGGTGCTGTGTCATGCCTGAGTCTTTACAACCCCAAGGACTGTAGCCCGCCAGGCTCCTCTATCCATTGAATTCTCCAGGCAAGAACAGTGGAATGGGCCCGACCCTGGGATTGAACCCAGTCTCCTGCATTGCAGGCAGATTCTTCACCATCTGAGCCACCAGGGAAGCCCCAAGGAAATGTGCTTTGGGGGTAAATAAAAAGAATCTAGAAAACTCTCCTTAGGAGGCCTGCACCTTCCGGAGAAGACAAGATAGACTTTGTTGTTGTTGTTGTTTTCCCTCCCTTATTCTTTTTTTCCTCCTTTGCTGGTGGAGGTGATGGAATTCCAGGTAAGCTATTTCAAATCCTAAAAGATGATGCTGTGAAAGTGCTGCACTCAATATGCCAGAAAATTCGGAAAACTCAGCAGTGGCCACAGGACTGGAAAAGGTCAGTTTTCATTCCAATCCCAAAGAAAGGCAATGCCAAAGAATGCTCAAACTACCGCACAATTGCACTCATCTCACACGCTAGTAAAGTAATGCTCAAAATTCTCCAAGCCAGGCTTCAGCAATACGTGAACCGTGAACTTCCAGATGTTCAAGCTGGTTTTAGAAAAGGCAGAGGAACCAGAGATCAAATTGCCAACATCCGCTGGATCATCGAAAAAGCAAGAGAGTTCCAGAAAAACATCTATTTCTGCTTTATTGACTATGCCAAAGCCTTTGACTGTGTGGATCACAATAAACTGTGGAAAATTCTGAAAGAGATGGGAATACCAGACCACCTGACCTGCCTCTTGAGAAACCTGTATGCAGGTCAGGAAGCAACAGTTAGAACTGGACATGGAACAACAGACTGGTTCCAAATAGGAAAAGGAGTACGTCAAGGCTGTATATTGTCACCCTGCTTATTTAACTTATATGCAGAGTACATCATGAGAAATGCTGGGCTGGATGAAGCACAAGCTGGAATCAAGATTGCTGGGAGAAATATCAATAACCTCAGATATGCAGATGACACCACCCTTATGGCAGAAAGTGAAGAAGAACTAAAGAGCCTCTTGATGAAAGTGAAAGAGGAGAGTGAAAAAGTTGGCTTAAAGCTCAACATTCAGAAAACTAAGATCATGGCATCCGGTCCCATCACTTCATGGCAAATAGATGGGAAAACAATGGAAACAGTGACAGACTTTATTTTCTTGGGCTCCAAAATCACTGTAGATGGTGACTGCAGCCATGAAATTGAAAGACGCTTGCTCCATGGAAGAAAAGCTATGACCAACCTAGACAGCATATTAAAAAGCAGAGACATTACTTTGCCAACAAAGGTCCACCTAGTCAAAGCTATGGTTTTTCCAGTAGTCATGTATGGATGTGAGAGTTGGACCATAAAGAGAGCCGAAGAAATGATGCTTTTGAACCATGGTGTTGGAGAAGACTCTTGAGAGTCCCTTGGACTGCAAAGAGATCCAACCAGTCTATCGTAAAGGAAATCAGTCCTGAATATTTATTGGAAGGGCTGATGCTGAAGCTGAAACTTGAATACTTTGGCCACCTAATGCGAAGAACTGACTCATTGGAAAAGATCCTGATGCTGGGAAAGATTGAAGGTGGGAGGAGAAGGGGATGACAGAGGATGAAATGGTTGGATGGCATCACTGACTCAATGGACATCAGTTTGAGTAAGCTCCGGGAGTTGGAGATGGACAAGAAAGCCTGGCATGCTACAGTCCATGGGGTCCCACAGAGTCGGACACGACTGAACAACTGAACTGACTTGACCCTTGTTCTTTGCTCTTTGCCTTCGAGAAGCTCTGTTTTCCTCCACTTGCAGCTCTAGGGTGAACCCTCTTAGCAGACCTGCGGCTCACACACGCGCAGAACTGGCTTCATCTTGCGCTGATCTCACTCTGATCCCAAGCTCCACGTCCAGGAGCCCATGGCTCTCCCTCTGCACTGCAGTCCCCGCGTTTGTAACCAGTCGGAAATCTAGACCTTGGACGCCCTGGCCTGTCACCCTGGCTGGTCCCCTGGGGCCCTGTCCCTTGATGCTCCAGGCCACGCCAGCTCTGCCTCTGGCTCCCACGGCCCCAAACCCCACCTTCTCAGGCTTGGCTTCCAGGGAGCCAGGGCTGGATCTTTTGGATACCAGCCTGTGCCCAGATGGCCCACATCCAGAGTGGCGTTTTTTGGTATGAATGAGGGGATGCCCTCAGCCCCTCCAGTCTTACCCCTCCTTTTCCTTCAGGTCCTAGTTCTGACATCAGCAGCGGGGAGCCCTCAGGCCTGTCAGGCTCCTTCTGGTCCTCTGGCCCTTTCCTCCCAACTGCTCAGAATGTGGGCCTGACTCCGTCCTCTGATGCTGAAGCTCCAGGACTTTGGCCACCTGATCGAAGAGCTGACTCATTGGAAAAGACCCTGATACTGGGAAAGAATGAAGGCAGGAGGAGAAGGGGTGACAGAGGATGAGATGGTTGGGTGGCATCACCAACGCAATGGACATGAGTCTGAGCAAGCTCCGGGAGACAGTGAAGGACATGGGAGCCTGGCGTGCTGCAGTCCATGGGGTCGCAGGGCTGGACACAGTGACTGAAAGGCAATCTCCCTCTAAAACCAAATGTGGCAGGTCTTATCACTGGTAGCAGTCCTCGAAAGGCAGGAGTTCAATGAAAACATGTTTCTGCTTAAGTATTTCAGAAGCAATTTCCCAGGGAATGGGGGGTGGGGAGCAGGGATTCAGCATAAGGCTGCAGATTTTCAGTAAATGGAGTGATTTTCAACCACCTCCAGTCTCGTCTCTTTGCTGAAGATGGAGCAACAGATGGCCTTTGGTAACTGACTTGAGAGGTGCAGGCTTCTAGTTATCTACATTTCTGTCTCCTTTGCCTTCAGGAATGACTTGTTTCCCTCTAAACAATAGGGCTTTTGAACCCTTATTGTTTGCATTAAACAAATAAAGCAGAACGACTTCTAAACTATTTATGGAATAAAGGGTACGGTGACATAAATTCAGCGTCAGGTCTGTTGCAGCGCTTGTGTCTTGGGGAATACGATTTGATTCAGGGTACTTAGAAGTCTTGTAAAAACCACTCACGTGCTGACAGGGCCCTACTACAGGTCTAATCAATAAGCTACAAAAGCAACGTCTGGCCCACAGAGCTTACGTCGACTAACTTCTGCTTTCTAACAGACAGCTCCTGACTGTAGAAGAAACCTTAGCCTGTTTATAGCAAATATCTTTTACATTTCCCCCTTTCTTCTCCCCCGCCCATACAAATTCCTTGGGCAGTCTTAAAGAAGTTAAAATTAAAATAAAAAAGAAGCTAAGACAATGCATCTAACATATTGGCCATCTGCTACCTCACTTTCTTTTGGGTTTTGTGTCATCTGGATATTTGTTTCAGGGCATACAAGCTAGTATTTAATTTTAATGGCTGACAGACTCTTCTGGAATAACCATGTCTACAGTCTATGCAAGGCTTTGGGAGATAATAAATTGTAAATCAAAATTGTCTTTATAAAGCTCCGTGGATTTATTGGATTTGTTTCTCAATGCAATGCCATGTTGGGTCTAATCCTGAAAAACTCCAAGCTGAAGAAACAAAACATTTCTCTGAGTGGAGCTGCAGAGATTGGAGGATCTGTATTTGGAATCCTGCAGGGAAGATTGACTTAAATATTTTTCATGCAGTTAATCAACCCAATTGTACAGAAAGGCATTATGAATCCTAAAATTACTTTTCTGCTCTACTGAAAATTCATGCTGACACGTAACAAAACAGAAAGAAGCTTGGCTCCTTCTGTCAAATCAAGAGGAAGAGAACTCAACCCAGAAGAACAAATGAGGGATTTTCCATAGGTTTTATTTTTATAAAATATCATCCATGACTATATTTGAGAATCTGGCTGTAAATTGAGGAAAGATTGTATCACATTTCTGATTGTTACAGTCGAACTGAAAGAGGTGGTTTTTCTTAAGAGAGA